TTTGTATGACCGCTCTCCAAGGCCATGCTGGCTGGGGAATTCTAATAGAAGTAGAGTAAAAAAAATGTTTTCTTCCAAACTATGATCAATTTGTACTGGTTTATTTGTAATTTCTCAAACTACATCAAACTATCATTCCAGGATTAAAAACCTTACAGACACCATATCTTGCTTAATCTTTCATGGGGGTCACCATAAGTCAACAGGCGACTTCAAGGTACAAACACAACACCTCTGATCCCACTGTTTTTACTCTTGTTGCTGCAACATTTGGCTCCTCACTTCACGTCCTGCCCTTATTTCAATTTGGTTTCATGATGACAGTATATGGTCTAAGCAATTTTGTTATGAGATGAGCCCTGGAGCCAAATAATGGTTAGGGGAAATATTCAGTGATTGTGAATACCATTTTAATGGGAATCAATGGATGACAAAAAGTTTTAACCCCTCCGCCATTTTCCCTACATGATATTCCTGGTTCAGTTCAACTTTCCTTCTCCCTTGGCTACTTGTGAAAGACAAACTATCTACAGAGCACCAAAGCATGTGCCACCAATCATAAAAGCAAGCAAAGTATCTCCTAAAACATGGGGTTAGTAAAGTATAGTGTGCAAGCTTTTTTTTAATCGTATCAAAAGCAACTTTAGAAACTACAAGCCGCTTCTGGTGTGAGAGAACTGGCCATCTGCAAGGACGTTGCCCAGGGGATGCCTGGATGTCTTACCATCCTGTGGGAGGCCTCTCTTATGTCCCTTATGTATGCAAGCTGCATGCATCCAAATGAGGCCTCAGGTTCCCCCAGATTTGTTACAATTTTTTCTGTGTGATTCACTTGCCCCAAACTCTTAAATAGATTAACACACTGATTTCATGTCCCATCCACCCACATTATGCAAATACCTTGAAGCTCACACAAACCAACACAAAACTGAAAAGAAAAAGAAAAATCAGTCAAAAGTGGAAGTAACACAATTCAGTTCTTGCTTCTATTTCAGCCCACTTTTGAGCTCTTGTGGCAGTTCTCCATAGACGATCTCTCCTTGTACTCTTCACAGTTGACCACTATTGTCCGAAATATGAAAGGGAGCACTGGCTTGAGATATAACAGGGCTTCCAAACTATACTAAAGATAACAGATTTGGCCACCTAACCCTGTTCTCCTTTTTTGCAACCTTTCAGCAAATCCGTAACATTAAACTTTAGTTTGTCATCTTATAACACAATTACTTTGCTGTTTCGAGGAACAAGCAAGAAATCCTTTTTCATCAATTTTAGCATCTGCAACACCAATTAAGAAAGACTTCTGAGGAATTGGTCAACACCCAGAATGTATTATTAAAAATACATGAAAATAGCAACCTGATTTGTCCTTCTTGGGAATCAAGTATTGGCACTCTTTCCCAAATATAAAAATGTGAACTTCTGTAACATATTGATATTTTAAAGACTTGACTGTTGTATTTTATAGTAGTAGTTTTTAAAATAGCAGCACAGAAACGCTGGGAAACTCAGCAAGGCATCCAAAGTTCAGATATTTGGCTAAAGCTCTTAAAATATTTGGCAACCAAGTTGATGCATTTTCATATCATTCATCTACTGCCTTCATTCACATGCAGCAACCATGCCAGAAACACAGTGAGGACATACCCCCCTGCACTGTCTCAATTTACACCACATATTATCTATCATAGGAAACATTTTAAAGAGGATTTTAAAGCATCAGGGAGTTTTCAGACTACTCTCATTAAAACAGCTGTAAAAAGCATGGAGTCAACACTACACTAGTGGTGTCCTTATAGAACTCAGACAGAAGGATGTTTTTGTCAAAAACAAGGATCTTTTCTCTGGTCTCAGGATGGGGTTCCCATCCTGGCTAAATCATTTGGTTCATTGAGATCCTAAGTTTGCCCTCCCCAGTGGTCTACAAAATAAAGGAGCCACTATTGGTTGTGATGCTAGTAACACATGCAAACAGTATTTCCCTCGACACAACTGCTCAAATCTACTCCACAATTCTCACATGAGGAGCTAGTAGTAAACAGCTACTGCCACATGTAAAGTTTTGTTTTTCCCTCTCTTTCTAATGCCAATGTTCTCAGCGAAATACAGTGGCATGCAGAAAAGTTAATCCTGGATGGTAAAGAGCCAACGTACATAATAATTTTGAAAAGTCAGCACACACCCAATGGTGTTGAAAGGCTGCAGCAAAGCATTCAACATCTAGAATATGAGAATAAAATGCATGGCAAAAAGGTCTGACAATATACTTTTAGAAGTTCCTGCTACTTAAGAACTACACCAAATGCCTGCACAAAGAATTTTATGACTTTCAAAATGTTTTTTTCTTGTCCTGATTTTTACTGACATCTTTAATTCTTTCAACAGCATTGAGATATATTGAACAGCTTGTTAACTTACAATTGTTAATCTGTAAGTTATTTTTACCAATAATAATCTGTCTATCTATGCTCTGTTCACTTTGAATGATATCATAACTCAAAATCCACTGGACAAATAGCTGCCAAATTTGGTCACAAGACTCCTACTATCCCAAGGAGTGACCATCACTCAAAAAAAGCTGATTTTGTCATTTGGGAGTTGTAGTTACTGGGATTTATAGTTAACCTGCAATCAAAGAGCATTTTGAACTTTACCAACAATGGAAACGAACCAAACTTGGCACACAGGACTCCCATGACCAAAAGAGAAAAAAACACTAAAAGGGTTTGCTGGGCATTGACCTTGAGTTTTGGAGTTGTAGTTCATCTACATCCAGAGAGCACTATGGATTCAAACAATGATAGATCTGGACCAACCTTGGCACAAACACTAGAAAAGTTTGGAGAAAACAGACCTTGACATTTGGGAGTTTTGGGGGAAATACACCTTGACATTTGGAGTATTCCGAACACCACCACTGATAGAATTGGGCCAAACTTCCCACACAGAACCCATGACTAACAGAAAATACTGTGTTTTCTTGTGGTCTTTGGCGACCCTTCTGACACCCCCTCATGACCCCCCCCCCAGGTTGAGAAATGCTGCCTTAAGGCCATCCAGTCCAACTCCCTTCACCAGGGCAAGAAAACATAATCAAAGCCCTCTTGACAAAGAGCCATCCAGCCATAGATATATATAGATATATGTATATATATATATATATATATGTATATATATGATTCACAAATACACATATATATGTATATGATACATATAGTATCATAGATTTGAAAGGGACCCCTAAAGAAGGACAATTATCTGTTGCATGTTCCAGAGTAGGCAAACCAGACAGTTTCTATTATCTATACTGACAAAGAAACAACAAGAAATACTGTTTACTCACAAGCATAAAGAAATTACGTATATTAGAAACCAACAGTTTGTCATTACTTTATTTTCCAGATCACCAGCCTGAGCCACAGCAACGCATGGCAGGGGATGGCTAGTACTAGTGGTAGTAGCAACAGTAGTAGTAGTAGTAGTAGTAGTAATAATAATAATAACTTTATTCTTATCTCTCACCACCATCTCCCCGAAGGGATTCAGGGCAGCTTACATGGGGACTAGACCCAGTCAACAGAATTAAAAAGATAGCACAGTAAAATACATTGCATTACAATAAATTAAAACAAAACCATCCAAAAATCATAAAAACATAAACCATCAACAAACAACAACCAGTATAAAACTATTGGCTAGGAGGCCAACTAGTTGTAGTACTGTTCAATTATTTTTTCATTAGCACCAAGATATACGGCACAATTTATAATCTGGCAAGTCAAAGCTATACAAATCATCTCAAATATGTAATCCAGATCACAAGGAGAAAATGGAGAAGAAAAGAGGAGGGGAAGGACTAGTTTCATAGAAGTTCGGATTTATTCAACTAGATATTTATATGATAGTGATCTTAGAAATGCAAAAAACAGAATCGGTCCAACTGTCTAGTGGTACAAAGATGGCCATACTAATTGATTAAATCATACTACCATAACTTTTAATTTCTGAGAATACGAAGAAAAGAAGGAGGAAGAGGAGAAGGAGTAGCAACAGCAGCATGCAAATCTGAATGGAAACATTAATGGCCTTCAAATGATTGCTGTTATTGCTGAACCAACTGCTTGCACAAAACTACATTTAACATCTCTAAAACCAGTTGGCCAGTTTTTCTAGCTCTCTTTAAGAAAAAAGCACATGGCTGTCACATAATTTTAGATTAAGCAATTCCCCCAAAGTGTTTACAATGCTTAATGGAAATAAGGACGTGCAAAAGCACACATTTCAAGAAAAGGAAGAAGACCACTTCCCAAGCCATTAACAGAGTTCCAGGAATAGAGAACATTGTTTTCTTTTCAGGCTAAAGGTGGCTCATTATAACTATCTGCTATTTAAGTCCACTTTCCCCATAAACAGCTGGAAATGGGTTACAGGATGGCTATTTAAGAAATGACAAACAAAAAGCAGGAAGCACTGAATCTGGAAACCCATGTTACAGCTGTCAGAAGTTGTGAACTGAACACACATGCACACTCAAGTAGTTGATGGATCGTGCTTCTTCCCCAAAATAAGTATTTATCATTTTCCTGCCAAATATAGTAGGGTCATTTCAATGTGACACTAGAAAAATGGTGCTAGATAAAAACCATGTTGACTTGACAAACTATATGAACACATGTTGGCTGCAAGACAAAAAAAGACTTGGAACTGGAAAAACCTGTCTTTCAGTAAGCAGCTATGAACCAGTTCACAGTCACTGTACTATGGATAGAATAAGCTAAATGTAGGGTTTTGTCCCCACACTCAGTGATCAACACCCAGGAAACTTAAACAAAACAAATATGCCCTCCAGGATATGTTGCTGGCCCTCTGACAAGACACCAGATGATATTGCTATTTATGCACAGACACACACATTATGTGACATACAGGGTGTGTTTTGGTCAATATGAGGATTTGATGGAACGAGGGTCACAAATGTCATTACAAAATAAAATTCTTACCTTAGTCCAACAAAACCATCTCTGGACAAATGAGCAGCACTAACAAACCAATAGACAAGAGCAATTGTTAAACAAGCATCTTACACATTCCTCTGTATCTGCCATACTCAAAATTCCAGTGGTGACTCCATTAAACATGGTGGGCTATGGCCAAATGAAGGCTAACAAGCTGTTGATTCAGCTCTGCTGTTGTGCTTGCCACAATTTTTTTCAGTGCCTCATTTTCATTCTTTATATTTGTTTTATTTTATTTATATTCTGAGGGACATACCACTGAACATGCATGCATGCAGCTAAACCCTCACAATTTCTTTGAACCTTAACCTGCCCCACAATAGTTATCAGAACTTACAACCTACCATGTCTCATTGACTCTTATTCTTCGAATCTTACCATTATTTGAACTTCTATAATAAATTATAAGGAAAGGTATGCTATACCCTATATATTTGTGTATAAGTCTAAAATTTTTAGTAAAAAAATAGCCCCCAAAAACTTGGGTTGACTCATCCAGTTCCTTGCTTGAGTAAGAAAATGACAACGGAAACCTAACATGGCTGAGATGATGATTGGCTTTCTCTTCTCTGTAGAATTACCCTCAACTTATTTATGCATCATATCAAAATTTTGACCCCCAAATCTGCCCTCAATTTATACATGAGTCTTACTTATCCAAACTTTGCTCATCCAACGTTCTGTATTATCCAACACAGTCTACCTCCTGGCTGGATCCACAACTGTTTCAATACATTGCAATGTTTTGGTGCTAAATTCGTAAATACAGTAATTACTACATAAAGTTACTGTGTATTGAACAGCTTTTTCTGTCAGTTTGTTGTAAAACATGATGTTTTGGTGCTTAATTTGTAAAATCATAACATAATTTGACATTTAATAGGTTTTTCCTTAAACCCTCTTTATTATCCAACATTTTCGCTTATCCAATGTTCTGCGGCCCGTTATTGGTGAATAAGCAAGACTCTACTGTACATACAGTAGTTTTTAATTGAGAACATTAGTTCAAACACAAAGGTCAGATGCAAGTGATTACAGACTCAATCCTAGGCATTTCTAGGTAGGGTTAGGAAAGACTTCCAAGGCCTGAAACTGTGAGCAACACAGTCAGTAGAGGCACAGCAGGTTCAAAAAAACCCTCCAGCTGCAGTAAATCTTGTTAATTCAAGGTTGACAGTTCAAAGCTCTTCCAGGGTGAGCTAATGGCATTTAGCCCAGCTTCCGCCAACCTAGCGGTTCCAAAGCAAAAAATGTGAGTTGATAAATAGGTACCGCTTAAAAGTGGGGGAGGTATTATAAAGCAACCCCAAAAGGAAAAATGTCAGGAAATGCTGTGCGATCTGACCAAAAAGAAGGAAGTTCATGAATCTTCAGCAGGGAGATGGAGTGACAGCACCTCCTCATGGCTGGAACTGAGCACACGCCTCTGAGATACTGAAGATGTACAAAAGCCTATATATACCTCTTTCTATGTACAATTGTATGTCTTGTCTATATAAAAGGGCACTGAATGTTTGCCATATATGTATGTTCTGTGATCTGCCCTGAGTCCCCTTCAGGGTGAGAGGGTGGAATATAAATACTGTAAATAAATACATATAAAGAACAAAAGTTTGATTCATTATCTCGACAAAATTGTGGTGTTTCAATACATGCACACACCAACTGCTTCCTGAATCTTATGACCAGCTACTTTTGTATCCTGAAATGGAAAAACAAAGCATGCAAATGCTTTGTGTCCTGATTTTTTTAAAAAAAAAAATTATTCAGAAGTCCAACTGGAAATAACCCCTTAGGTGAGGCTCCTGCAGTACTTTGAATAGTTGCCAATGTATCAACAGTTCTAAAATAAGGTTGCATTATATAATGGAGTTGTAGCAATTTGCAGCATTCCCTCACACTGTTATAGTTCAACTAATTCCCACATGTGTGCTCCTCTGTATTGCATTTTAATAGAGATACATTTTTCTCACAATTAAATTGTAGTTCCCATCATACTTTTTCAAAACAGGCCTGAGGCTGACCTCCTGTGGAGTACTTACTCCTACTTATTAATTAGTTTAAGTAAAGATTTAAATGGCAGCGTTCATGCACTCAGTCTAATTTAGTCTAAGTGTTGGCTTATCAAATAGGCAGCAGCTTGATTCAATTATGCAATATTATACATACATACACACAAACACAGAGAGAGGGTGGGGGAAGAAGGATGGAAGGTGGTAAGTAGTTAGGAGGAATGACAGACAGATCAATCTGTTTCATCCCACTTCCCAATACATTCAGATCTAGATTGTAACCTGTCTAAGGACAGACCTCATATTGTACATATATTTAGCATTCTTGTTTGCTTCAGCCAACTATTTCCACAGTCATTCTTGTTTTAATTGGCTTAATTAGAATAGGGGTCAATGGTGACCAGAAACACTTATGGTATAAAAAATGTCATATACTATAGCCAGTAAATTGCTAAAAAGAAAGTGGAGCAATTGATTCTGTGTCCAGATGTTTTGATACCCCTCCAGTATCACCAAGGAAACCTTGTCTACAATGAACAGGTCATCAAAGTCTTGTTGCATGTGACCAAGATGGCTAGTTTCCTCCTCAATTCACATATTTTAGAGATTGTGTAAAAATAAAAACAGAGCAAAGGCAGCCTATTTTTAAAATCCCCCAAAGTAATTAAATCAAGGTTAAAAGCACTCAACTGCCTTAATTAGGAAAGATGGTAGTTGCTACATGAGCAAAATAGATTTCTGTATCCAATAATTAGAATAGATTAATGGTCTTAATAAGGTTACATCCAAGCATGTCACTGTTGCTGGAACAGGTCAGTTTAGGATTATTATTTTACTGTGAATTCACATTTTATTATATTTTTAACCATTTTCACTGGTCACTGTTTCCAACATTGTTTCTGAGTTGCTATACTTCAAATTACATGCAGACAAAGCATATGTCATAGGATGGAACACCTCAGAGCTCTAATTATAGAAGACTTTCTCGGGACATTTTTAAAAAGCTGGTGGTTCAGCAGCTATCATGAAAAAATTCAGAAATAAACTGATCATAACTGTTATGTCAATGACAGCAACAATAACTACTATTACTACAAGGAAATTCAAGGCATTCATTCCCATGATCTGAGATGTTCAGGAGTTATCAAGTTTAGCTAAAACTGAGGAAATCGAGTTTCAAATACCCAAACATGAAACTCCCAAGATGATCTCAGCCAGTCACTATTTCTCAGCTTACTCCATCGCCCAGGGTTCATCTGAAAATAATTAAATGGAATGAGGAAAGCTGGAAGTCACTGAAGGAAAGGTGGACTATGAATGCAACAAAAAATAAAAATGTAAAACTGTTGTGAATTGTTTGGAACATAAGGGCAACAGACTGGCAAGGCAAAGAAAAGATCAAATTTTATTTTAAGTAATGGCAAGTAATAGGATCAGTTATGCTCCTTGAATCTCCATAAGGGTTAAGAGAACTCCTGTGGCTCATATCAATATCTAGGAAGACAGTGAAGAAAATCTTATATTAGGAAGACAGCATGTCCCTTTCTCTACACACATTGGAAAATCATAATTTGTTATTTTGATTCTAATAATAATAACAATAATAACATTTTATTTATATTCTGCTCTATCTCCCTGAAGAGACTCAGGGCAGATTCCAAACATAAAAAGCAAACATTCAATGCCCAAATACAACAACAATACATCTATACTAACAAAATGTAAACAACCCAACATATAAACACGAATTATAACTTATCGGCTAAAATTAAAATTTAAAAAACACAGCCTGTTATAACAGACATCAGACAAAAACATCAAACATCAAATGGAAACAATAATTTTCCATTTCCTTGTGGCAAATTGATTAATCATTACTCAAGATATCTATTGCTATCCTCTATGGAAATGTAAATATAACAGTTGAGGATGTTGTTAAAATATGTACTTCAAATTGTGTACTAATGGAAACATCTGCAAACATATAGAGATATTGGTTGTATATGGATGTCATGCTAAGTCATGTTTTATGTTAATAATTTTTTTTATTCCACATGAACAAAGAAGCAAAGATCAAGAGTCCACTTGTTGTCCCTTCCAGTTTCAGGACTACAGCTGGATAAAAGTGGACAGGGAACATTTATATTTCTTGATTTGAATATGCTAACAAGCCATGATTTCTACTTGTGATTTGCAGCGGATTATCAAACACTTCTTTCCTCCTAAAAATGGGAGAAATCAGGAAACTACAAATGGGCATGCCCACTCGGTTTCAATGCAACTGCATTAAGATTTTTTTTTCATCAGTATGAAAAGTCTATATAAATTTTAATAAAGCAATGCTTTCTAGTTTAATGATATTCCCGGTCCATAATGAATAGTCCTTTCGGTGCTTGAAAGCATTCATACTCTTACTGCTGCTATGGGGGGCAGGGTTGGAACAAATGATCAGCATTCAGTAGAATGCCTGTAAGACATTTTGCAATATGTTAATGTATGTTATTATCACATTCATTAGCTCAACAATAATTGTAGCCACTGATTCCTCAAACCACAGGCAATATTTCTTTAAAACAACTTGTCAAAGGAAAAAAATAAAGATCACTCATGTTAGATCATTGTAGCTTTATGGTTGATAACAAATTAAGCCTCAAAAGGACTGCCACCTTGATTCCTAATAAGGTCCTAAGCTATAAAAAAAATGAAAGAGACCACTAAAATTTGAAATGCACAGACTTCACAAACTCATGCCTACATAACAGAATCTCTACTAGCATAGAATTCACTTGTAACTTAAGGTCAAACATGACTAACAGGCTTGTGCATTTCAGCCAAAAAACATTCCATTTTTGGCTGTTTACCAGGAAGTTACTTGAATCGGGAGGAGTGTTGCAGTTTCATTCGATAAAGTTACAATGGGTAACTTTAAATGCTCAATCGACATTTTACAGCCTATCAACATGAAACCTACCTCAGTTTTAGACCCCATTTACAACTGCAGGCCTGCCAAGT